GCGCCTTGTGGCAGCTGTTGCGTGGTGAAGAACGAGTGCACTGAAAGAAAATTGATGCATGACCTAAAGTTCAACTAGAATGGCTTCGGTATTGAGATTGAAGTTTCACTGCACTCAACCTAGCTAATGGTCCTACGAACGAAAAGTGACCGCGCAAAGCAGCGGTTACTGGCATGTAGGGCCCTATCGAGCTTTGGGTCGTCTGCGGCCTCCTCCCCGTGGGTTAGATTCGCCTGAAAATTCGTCGGACGCCAAAGGTCGAGGATGATGAGCGATCTTCCAGTTGTGGATTCCGGAAGAACGGATCATATTAGCTAAGTCTAGCAAAACCGAATGGGGCTGGTTAAGACGCGTAGCGTCGCAGAGGTAGCCGTAGCAGCCAGTGCGGCGTACCTCATTGATGATCTCGGAATCGTCGTCGACGTACGCGCAAATCCCCAATCGGGTGACGATCGGAGTTTTGCCTTCCGGCCCGACTCGGGAGTTGGTAAGAAATATTCCCCCTCCCATCTGGAGTCCGGCTGCGCGAACGCAGTCACGAAAGTGCGCGGTTTGTGAGGCCGCTCTTGCATAACCTTCATGTCCCGTGAAGGATATGATGGTTATTCTTGCGCCGAGGCGCTCGAGATTGGCAAGAGCATCAACACACTGTCGTGTGGGGACTTCAAGCTTATATACCAACATTGCATCTAGAACCTTGTGGAAATCTAGACCAACCTCGATGTTATGAGCTTGACCGGGTAAGGTAAGGGTCATAGGGTCACACATTTGTTGACCGAAGACGTGATTCGCCTCTTGCCACAGTTCGAGGTAACGATTGCGAGGGAGTGGCATATCGTCGTCCTGCTGTGGCGGGTTTGGAGGCGGAGGGTCTCCAAAAGTTGGTGGCGCTAATGTACCGCCCTTTGGTTCAGCCTCTGCAGGATCCTCCTCCGCGCGAGGCGCGGTTGCGGAAGGTGCAGGAGGTGTCGGGTACCCGTGTCCTCTACCTCTGCCTGTTGCATCCTGTGCGACGTTTGCGGGAGCAGGGCTCGAAGACCGCGGTGGTCGCTCAGGCATCGGCTTAGGTTTTGGTACCTGAGCCGGTGGTGGCGGTGGTGGAGGCTTGCGAGGTCCGGGCGGAGGTGTTGTGAAGAATCCGTGAGGGAGGAACTCTTCAACCCGCCCTGACTCAACATACTGTGGTTTACGTTGAGACGGATCCTCGCGAATGCATTGTGGCGGTGGCTTGACTACCAGGGGCTTTGGTGGCGGTGTCCTAGATCTCGAAGAACCGGATGGTGCCGCCCCGGAGTCTGTGGGTGCATCGTCCAAATCGTCATCGAGCGACTGGTCGGCCCAGTTGCGATTCGGGGTACGATGTGTTGGGTCCACAAGTGGCGTTACGGTTACCGACGTCCTCGAAGGGGATTGCGCTGGAGGTTCACCTGAACTATGTCCAGTTACTACTCTTTGGGCAACCAGAGGGACGGTACCCCGCGTATGCTCCGCAAAGGATGGCTCCGCGCTGGGCGCGGTTTCTTCCGGAGCGCCGGGACCAGGCCTTAGCACAACCCGTGACGTCGTTGCAAAGACAACACGAGAGCGCTTCGGTGGTGGAGGATTTGCCGACGCACGCGGCTTCGGGGCCGGTGCTTCAGGTGCCTCCTCGGCCTCTAGGGCGTATGTTGGTGCTCGCCGCCAAGGGGCGGTTGCTCGAGGTTTGGCCGTTGGGGGAGGTGGACTTTCTTCGTCGTCCACGTCCATGGCGTGTACCTCAGTGTTTGGGTGCACCAATAGCTCTGGGTGTGGCACTGTCAGACCGCCGGGTTCCCTCGTTGGGCGGGTTCGCCATACGTGGTCAGGCAAGTCGTAGACAGAGTCACGAGCTGTGTCCATCGGAATGGGCTGCGCCGGCGGCTCGCGGGCAGCGTGTTGGAGTCTGACGAATCCGCGCTGACGCGGTTGCGGTGCCTCCCTCGGCTGATTAGGCTCCGGACGCGGAGCGTCGGCTGCAGGAGGCTGCGCGGACACGGGTAGACTCCGACTGCTTGCCTTCGGTGGAGGTGGCCTTCGAACCTTCACGTGAGGTGGTAAGGTCTGTGGCCTATGAGGAATATTCGGATACTCGGGGTCTAACGGTGGTGGATCAGGGGGAGTTGCGGCTGCAAGTGCACGTCCTAGTCGACCGGACCGTACGGCTCGGGTTATCGTGTTGGCGGCACGGGTGCGAGCTGCCTCTAAGTCATCACCCTCGATTTCGACCACGGGATCTGGCTCGAAAGCTTCCTCTTCCTCCCGCGCAAGCGCGGTTCCGCCTTGGTCGTCCTGTTGGACTGTGCCTTCCTCCTCCGCTCCTTCTGGGTACCCTTGATCTGCTTCGGCTTCCGGAGCGGGCGCTCCCTCCTCGGTTCCAACACCATCCATGGGATCATCTGCCTGTTCGGTATCGTCGGCAAGATGAACCGTGCGTGTCGGCTGTTCCGTGTCCGCGAGAAGCTCAGCGGTTTCACGATTAGGCCTGGGGCACGGCCTGGTTGGTCGAGGAGGTCGAACCGACTCTGAAGTCCGGGTCTGAGACCTAGATCTTGGAGTGCCTTGAGGAGTTTGAGATCGGGGTTGCACAGGGTGATCAACAGGTCTCAACTGCGATCTCCAGCCTCCTGACGAACTGGCAGCGCTTGCACCCACTACGGGTTGGAATGTGCGCGCCGGGACGGTGACAGGGAAGGCTTGCTGAGCAGACGGGGCTGCTCGCGATGAAGTCGCCGTTGATGAATGGACCTGGCGGAGCGGGATGAACTTGTATGTCTTTTGGTAATACCCAGGCGGAAAGCGGTATGTGGGTTGCTTCACACCGTTTGAGATGTCCGGCATGTGACGAGTACACCATGACCAGAATTCTGGTATGATGGCCGCCCAGGCTTTGAGTGCCCCGTCGGAAATGTCTCCGTCTTCAGGGGACTCGGCCCATGCATCAGCATGGAACACCACATACTTGTACCATTCGGAGTAATCTCTCCGCGCAATCAGCGGTTTCACGAATGGTAGGTGGTAGGTTTTACGAACCCGACGGTAAGTATGCGACGCCAGGTGACTTGCGATAAGATCACATGTGAGAGCGTACTTCTTGTCGGACTGTTCGAACTGGTGTTTTTGGCCTCCCCTCGCGCCGCGCGTACGCTTCGGCTGAGGATCCACGGCTGCGGAAGTTGTTTGTGATGTCTCCGCGCCAGGCGCGGTTTCGTCGTCAGCCTCTTCCCCTTCCTGCTGCTCTTCTTTGGGAGCGGGCTCCGCCTGATCATCAGGGTCGTCGCCTTGCTCTTCGTCTCCAAAGTCAACTTCAGTTTCGTCAAAGACCGGATCGGTGGCCAATGATTCGAACTGCGTTGGATGATTATGAGTATGCAGTGGGGGTAGACCTACAGGGGAGGTTGAGGGATCGGCATAAACTTCTTCCTCTACTTCCTCCTTGGCTGTGGGCTCTATTTTAGGTGGGCCTAACAACGAAAAGACATCGAAGGGCGGTTCGTCGGCGTTAGCGTGGCCTATCGAATCGTCCTGAGCTTCCAAGACCTCTCCGCGCGAAGCAGCGGTTCCGGTCTGGAGCTCTGCTTCGGCTTTGGGGACTTGGGTGTTAGGTTCGCGCTCTTGTCGAACTAGCGACTCAAGCGTGTTGGTCTCGACTGGAAGGACCTCTGTGGCTGGCGAGTCAGCAGGCGCAACCTCATCAGCCTCCTCCGCACCGGCGGTTTCGGAGCCGGGTGGGGTGAAGGTGGGTTGAGATGACGAAACACCCGTTGCGACACGGGGAACAAGAGGAGGTTCGGCTGAACCTTCCTCAAGTTCTTGGCCCGTGGTTTCCGCGCTGTGCGCGGTTCCAGCCACGTCCCCAAGGGAGGCGGCAGCCTCTTGGTCTTGGGGACCTTCGGACGTCGCGGCTGCGGCGGCAGCCGTGCTGGACGAAGCGACGTCCGGATCCTGCGGCGCAGGATTGATCCTGCCCATCCCAGGGCGTCGAAGCAGCGTGAAGCGTGCTGCGATGGGATCAAGGGGCCTTTCCGTATCTTGCGCGATACGGCTGATAACCAATTGAATCCACAAATTATTGGGAAGATAAGGGATGGCCCAACTTATTCTATCAACCGGGAGGAAGTAGAAGTGGTATGCCAAATCCCTAGCGGCACGATCAACTGGGACCAAGACACGGCGGTTGGACGGTCGGGTACCCGTGGTTGACCGTGCAGGGTGTCAAACGAACGATGTGGCAGCAACGAACGAACGAGCGAAGCGAGTGCAAAGCGAAAGCGAAGGTGCGACCGGACACAGCCCAGTCAACACGGCACCCTGAAGAAAACCCGTGCAGGAGCACTTGTTTTCTTGAGCCAAGAGCAACGGTTGTAGCATGTGTTTTACATGCCTCAGTGAACCGTAGCTAAATAGATAGACATGTACAAGTAGTGAATAGCTGTTACATAGTAGGGGTTCATAGAAAATGACTGAAACAGAACATATTCAGCAGAACGTGCATTAAAAATCGTGAAGAAAAAGGACTGGTGACCTTACTAATTAAATTAACTCATTTAACTCATGAATCTCCAGGACGCTAATAGGATCGACCATCTCTCAAGGTGAAATCACACAGCTCTCTTAAATCCGCCCTATGGGCATGTTACGTCTTTGTGGCATGTACAGGGCAAGAACTTGCTTTGTTGAGAAGACCAGAATTTGAGGATCTCAAGAGGGAACTGGGAGCGCGGGCAAACTGGGATGAAAACAACATATTCAGTCCGAAGATGCCAAGCAGGGTGATCGGCATGCAACACGTCAGCGTAGCCCTTCTTCGTTCCACCAAAAGAAGCACAACAAGTGTTCTCTGTCCTGTGCTTGTGGAGTAAACTTGGAAAAATCTGGTTAAAACTGCTGGCAGCGTGGCCAAACCTTGGAACAGCCTGTCAATCAAATACAGTCATTTATATCAGTATATCTTGGAAGGAATTAGCGTTCTCATATCGGACCACCTTCCGCAGCGCCAGGAAGGCGGCAAAGCCATCCTCTCGTCCTGGCCAAGGAGAGACCCGGCTGTTGAAAAAGTTGCCCACAAAATGGCTTTGGCTTATGTCTTTTGAAAGGCCTCACCGCTGAAACCCCATCCGCACAGATCCCACAAGTCCCACTCAACATGCTCGGCACACCCATGACTGGCATGGCCGGCTGAAGGTGTCACATGCTCGTCGGAGGACCCATGCCGCACAAGAAGGCCTTGAGAAGACAAAGGACCTGCGGAAGAATAAGGGAAGATATGCTTTGCCTGAAATCACATTCATTGATCTCCAGGTCCAAGTTGTTTGGGATGACTGCGGCACTTACCTATCCACCTGCGCACATGCAGCAAGCCTTTCTGCGCGTGTTCTCTTGAAATCCTTGTCAGTTTCAAAAGTTGAGTCTGGCGAAGTGGGCGTCACAGTCAAAGATTCTGATGGCAGTTGCTGGAAGTCGGACCTTTTGGTATTTGGTACCCTGCCTCCTCTTGGCCAAAGACGACAAGAGAAACCTCAAGGAAAACACCCTGCTTAGAATCGCCACTTGCTCCCTAAGTGCCCCTCTAGCAAGAACAAGATAAACCAAGTTGATACCTCCAAGTTATGCCTCCAGAGAGGAATATACCTCCACGTTGATGTTCATCTTCTACCTGGCCCAGCCCAAATGCAGAGGGACCTCAAAGGACTGGAGCAGGGCGCAAGAGACTGGATGAATCCATGAATCCCGCGCAATGACTGCAGCATGTTGCTGTCTGGAACCTCTTTTTTTCGGGTCTCCCCATGTTAAACTGTTTCACCATGTTTCACATGTGTGCACCAAAAACAATCTGAACAGGTACCAAATGCCTTCTTTTAAATCGTTCAGATGTCTGCCAATAGCGCAACCTCAGTGAAAAGGACTTAACGTTTTGGATGGGGATCTTGTGCCGATCTGCAAACCAGGAATACAAACTCCATCGCCTCAGCTTCCTTCCACCCTCTTTACCACTTCGCCTGACTGCCTGAAGAATTGACACACACAAAAAGTCGCCGACCACGAGGGTTCTCGGGCGTCGCGCAGGTGTCTTCCCAGTCCCAAATTGAAGTTGATGCAAGTCAACACATGAGCGTGCCTCAAAGAAAGAGAGAGCCCACCATACATCTCACCAAATAGAACGGTGACCTAGCTCTGTCGTACAAACCCAAAAAGGACAACAGGGGTATGTCCCATGTCAGAACCCAAACAAAATGGGCTGTCTGGTACACAGTCTCCACAGGCAGGGCCGAAGCACCGGCTGCTGTTGGTCTCTTTGGTCAGCGGAGCCGGCGGAGCCCATGAACCGATGAACCATCCACCAATCGCCACCAATCTTAAAAGGCTCCGTTTTGCTCAAATGTGTTGCTCACTAGTGGCTCACTAGAGTGTTTTTTTCCGAGAAAAAAACAGTGTAAGTGAAACATGAGATCCAGTGCCTTTGCGATGCAAAATCCACACCTACATAGCTATGTCCTATGTCCTATGTCCATCAAGAAGGCCCAAGCAGGGCACCACCCCCGAACCACCAACCCTGCACGCTGCCCCAGGGCCGCTCGAGCTGCGATGCGCAGGAGCACGTTTGCTCCGACTTCCAGCAGCTCGAGCAGCAATCCCCAGCGACGAGCGGAATCGAGCACTCAGGATGAACACTCAGGTTCGCCTGAGTTGATCGTTCCGAAGCGGTCAAAGACCAGGTGAAGAAGGATCGAAAGACCTAAACACACCCAAAAGGTAGAAGACATGTCTAGGGAATACAACCACATCCTGGTCACCTGGTATTTGTTCTAGACGTGCTGCAAAGGCTTCCTTTTTGGGCCTCTTTAGAGCTGGTCATCCTTCCATACAATGCCTTCCGGACCGAAAATCACACTCTCAGCATGGTGGTCGCACAGTGACCCTGTGTAAGAAAGATTGTCAATGTTTAGTGTGACGGCACTCCATGTCCCAGGATCTAATCAACTACCCTCATGGCAGAATCCCAAGCAAAGAGACCCCAACTCAACTATAAAGGGAGACAAGTTGGTGAGACCATGGAGGTATTCATGCGCACAATTGACCCACTGCACAATGACAAGTAATGAAATGTGATGTCGCTCATGTCGCTGCACGCGACGCGGTTGATGTTGCCCTTAACGACCCTGTGCAGTTTGGCAGAAAAATCGTATTGAAAGTGACGAGTAGCGTCTTCTATCGAACACATTACAGTACAATGTTTCAACTTGTTTGTAGTCATCGCCACCCAATTCACTGCGGCCATTGGCGTGCATGAGTCAGATTTTGAAATTGTGAGTTGGACACGTCAAGATCCACCGTCAAACCGATGTCCAAACCCTTTTTTTTGGCATTCTGGATGATCTTGCAGAACTGCCATGGTGCTGCAGAGCAGCCACACACCGCTGCTTTCCTAGGGTCCCAGGCGCCCACCTCGCTTAGTCCTGAAAATGAAAGGACCTATATAGCCTAGTTGGTCTACTCACCAGAAAGAATCGTTCCAGGCAAAGGTGAAAAGGAAATGAAAACAGGATTGAATTTGGTATCCTGAATCCTGTCCCGGGACGGCCCATCACTGGACCGCCCAACTCGACGTCTTTGAAAACACCCGATGTGGTGGTAGAACTAGCTGGACGCTTGCGGTGGAAAAAGTGCGCACAACGGTTCGGATCTCATGTTCCAAGATCGCCCATGTGCATGTGTGTGTGTGTGTCGCCCCTGGAGTCAGAGGGAACCTTTTGGCTCATCTTATCGTAGCGTGTTCTGATGACTACGCCCAACGAAGCTAGTCCGAAAATGGGGATACTAAGATTGGCCGTTTGTCTGTTCGGTTGACGAATTTTGGAATTCACGTGACTTTGAACTTGCTAACTCAAAGGTTTAAGGTGAATCGACCGTTTGCGCTGCATAGGCGTCCCTTTAATGCCAGAGTCCTGGGCTGGGTGCAATCAAAGGGGAGCCGGGAGGCACTAGTGTGTCTCTCAACTTTTTGAGGGTTGGAGTGAGCCCGAAGTACTGTTCTCCATAGCTTAGCTGGGGGTGAAGTCGTTACACTTCACCAACAGCACGAGGATGGCAAAAGTCACATCAAGACTTAACGACCTGGTCCTGGTATTGATTGGAGCAGGCCGTCCATAGTGGACAAGAAAGACCCATAGCGGCCGCAATGTTTGAGGTTGAGATCTAGTGATCTCTGCCCACCCCTCAGTGTTCAGCGTCCTTCTCCTGCTTTGCTTACCTCCTTGTGCCCCTCCGCTTTTCTTAGACAGTGAACCCCCTCACCGGACCGCTCCGGATGCTTTTGTGCTGTAAGTTCCATTGCTACTTTTTTCGCACAGTGCACATGGACGTCTATGTGCACATAGACGGCGCGGCCAAAGCTTGTGGTTTCTAAGTTTCCCTTCTTCCTTTTCCTTGGCATTTCCTGCGGATGGGTCTAGTCCCTCGTTGGAGCGCTCCCGGACGCATTTGCGTAGCTGGGGGTTCTTGCTTTAGTTTAATCTTCTTCAATGTGCACAGGGACGGCGTTGCCGCAGCTTGTGACTTCCTTCATCTTCTCTTGCCTTGTCCTTTGCAAACGGCATATCCCCTCGTACTGCGCCGACATGGATGCAATATAAGCATAGCTGCTTAGCTGGTTGCTTTTCAGGATCAAACTGTAAAGTTTGGCCCCCCCTACCCGGGGGGAGTGCGGGTGTGTGAAGACTCTGGAGTCATGAGTGTCTTTTGATCGGTGTCTCATCTGACAGGAATAAGCGCAGTAGGACTTGATTTTGTTGGTTGGGTTACACTCTTCTCGCCCTTGGAGTCAAAGGGAGCCTTTTGGCTTATCTTGTCGCAGTGCGTTGTGACTACACGAAGCTAGTCCGAACACGGGATACCAGGATTGGCCATCCTAGCCTACCTGCGCGCTTTCTCTGCGTGCTTTCTGAAAATGGCAAGCGCCCAAGCCAAGAACTGCAGCAAGCTTGCGTTTGTTGGTTCGATTGAGGAAATTTGGCATTCATGCGACTTTGAACCTGCTAAGTCGAAGATTCAGGATGCTTGGACCCTTTGCACTACTTAGGCGTTCATTCATATAGAGGTTCCGGCGCTGGGTGCAATCAGACCGTACGTACTCTTATCTCGAGTGTGTGTTTTACATGATTCAGACCGCCGGGACGGGATCAGAAAATCGGACAAAATTGGGCCGGTCACAAATCGAAGACGAAGGGATGATCAGGTCACCCCCTCGTGAGTTTGTATCATCTACCAAATCCTGTGGATCGTGTGGATCAGGTCGAGAACGAAACGCATGGATGCACGCCCGGATGCGAGGCGATGGGCGTGTCGCTTTTGCGATGCGATGGCAGTCCTCCTGATGGCGGTTGGGATCATGGATGAACTTCCAGTGCAGCTGTTTCGCCTGTTTTCAAGTGGGCGGTCGAGCCAAGGGGTGAGCCTTTGAGAAAAAGAAACGAGCTTAGATCAGTTTACTCCCCTCAAATGTGGTGGTTCGTTGCCCAAGGACACAAGGAGATCACTGAGGAGATTCGTCAACTTATATACAGTGTGTGTGTATGTATATATATATATTATATATATATATATATGTATACACTGCATTCATTCCAAGGGAAGGAGGTGCAGTAGTTGAGGTTCTTCAGCACCTGCTCCAAATGAAACCCAACTCAATTTGGGACCGGAAGCTGATCACACTCCATGGCTGTGGAATACCATCGCTTGATGGCAATACCTCAGGCCGGACATGTTGCTCTTGGTTTGCCGTCTCGGAACGGATTTTGGTAATGGAAGATAGTAAGGCAGAACTTCTGCAAGCACCTGTTGCATGCGGGCCTCCCTATCTGAAGGGCATTCGTTCCGGCGCACAGAAAAAAAAAGGTTTCCTTGTACCACACCGGCCAACTCGCCCATCCATTTTGGCACGGCGGCCACCCATGGCCACGCCTTCTCTGAGTCAAACTTCTGTCGGCACTCAGCACCTCCGGGCTAGTGGTCCAGTGCAAATAGCAGAGCAATGCATGCAGAAGAAGCACATGGCATGCAGAAGAAGCTTCAAAACATCCGAAAATGTGTGAAAGAGGATCAGACCGACCGTTATTCATGTGAGTTGATGTTAAGTAGCTTTAGGACATTTTAGGCTAAGACTCACAAGACTTCACCCATTCCATTCACTGAACTTGTTGCTCCAAGATTTCCACATCCAAGGTCATCTCAGCCTGAGCGTTTATAC